TGGTGAAGTTACTACCACTGATGTGACTGTTATCGATGATGGGACATTTACTGATGAAGTAGATGAACCCCACGTGAAGCAGAAGCCAATGAGACGGAGACCAGTACGGAAGAAGATACGTCCCGCAAAATTAAGAGACTTTGTTGAATTGTAATTTTGTCTTTGTAATTCTGTACAGTTAATTAAGTTATTGTTAATTGTTATTGGTTTATCATATGTGGTTATTGTTCGGGACGAACAATATTAAGGAGGGGCAGTGTTGCGTCAGCGAGTCACATGACTACTGTGACGCCACGTTTCTAGAACAATCCTGTACTTTGGCGAATGCTCTAGTATTTACTAGATATAGGGTAGTCGGGTATATAAAAGAGGGGGACAACGTGGCGCGGGGAGGAGAATGTAAGGTAATGTGTGTGTAGACAGTGAGCAATTGATCTGCAGTCAGAAGTATTATTGAGCACGTTCGTTGTTATAGCGTTTGTTTAGCGCGATTGTTGAAGTTGAGTATTTCGGTAAAGTTATATTCGGAAAGAATAAACCAGTTTTATTAAGTAAAGACTTGTGTCGTTAAAATTTTGTCGGAACGAAGTTACGGAAAAATCAATTAACAAACGGAGACGTAACAATATCATGACGAGATAGGTGGACTATTACTAGAATCAAAAGATATTAAGGATAGCGTATTTATATCCGACAGAACTAGACAAAGACGAGGTTTAATAAATGCAGGTGGAAGTATTCTAAATTTTTTATTTGGAACAGCAACCACTGACGATTTACAAGACTTAAATGAAAAGGTAGAACAACAGAGACAGGTATCTAAGGAAATGATTCATTTAATAGGAGAGCAAGCAACTATAATGAATTCATTAAATCAGACAATTGAATTACATGACCAAGGAATTAGAAAAGTATCTAGAGCTTTAGTAAATATTACTAATGCATTGATACACACTAGTGTAAGACAGACTGAGTTACATGAAGCAGGAATGGAAATGTTATGTTACGACAGCAGAAGTCACGTGACGTAGTTACACGTCATGAGATTCTAGAAAGATCATGTTCGTTTGTGAAGCCTCGAGTGTTCTCCAGATGCTCTCAATTTCGTATATATAAACCCGGTGAGAAGTTACGACATAGATATGAATAATTGCAGATTGAAGAGATAGAGACAGATAATCGAGTCAAGTCGTAAGTAAAGTGCATCAATCGTTTGTTGTGAATTATAACGTATGTTTAAGTTAAAGTGACTGTGGAAATTAAGTGTATTGCAAAGTTTAATTGAGAAAGAATAAACTAGTTTTATTTAAGAAAAGACTTGTATCGCTGAAGTTTCTTGGGAAGAATTTTTATGGGAAGTTATCAAATGAACAGAGACGTAACAGTTTTTAACACTAGGATTCAGAATAATCTTCAACAGTTATCTTTTACAGTAGGAAGTAGTAGGACAGAGTTAGCTAAGTTAATACAAGCATTATATGTAGCTGCAGATAAAAAGCTAAGCTCTTACTTTTTACCACCGAGTAAACTAGATGGAGTGTTAGACGAAATTGAAAGGAGATTACCTCCACATTTCCAGTTTGTAATACCTACTCATAGTGACCAAATTTATATGTACTATACATGGGCTGACGTGAAGGCAGCCGCTGTTAAGGATACTTTAAAAATGTTTATAGAAATACCATTAAAAGCAACTGACAGAATGTTTAAACTGTATAATATTATATCCTTATTGATAGCAATAAATCATTCATTAGCTTTAACTATAGAAAATGATAAACCACACCCTGCTGTCTCGAGTGATCAACATACATATATTGAAATGACAGAAGAGGATATTGTTGCATCAGCGAGGTCACATGACTAGTATCACGCCACTTCTTTCTCGAACCTTCGTGAATTGACGGGAGATTACTAGATTGGGGGTAGTCTGGTATATATAAGATGGTCACAACGTGACGGGACAATGTGTAGGTAATGAGTAATTGAACTGCAGTCAGAGAGTGTGTAATTGAACGGAGTATTGTTGAAGTCGAGCACGTGAGTTATAGCATTTGATTATAGAGCGACTGTTGAAATTAAGTGTATCTGTAAAGTTGCATTCGGAAAGAATAAACCAGTTTTATTTAAGAAAGGACTTGTGTCGCTAAAGTTTCGTTGGAACGAATTTTACGGAAAGTTAATTAACAAACGAATGGAGATGTAACAATATGTTAAATTGCATAGATGGACCTATCAGAGTTTGTGATCCTAACTCAGGTATTTATTCAGTACCTATTGTAAATTGTAGTTATGTGATATTCACAGGAATTAAGAATAGAATATCAGAACTATGTGAGAAAATAATAATTATTCCTAAACCATTCTATTCTTTAAAACTAGAACTCCAGGAACTTGGTTATTTAATGTTAAA